AATTTAATTAAAGTATATAAACTTACAGTTAAGCTTATAAATAAATGGGCTTTCCTTGTGGCTCAGCTGGTAAAGAACCCGCCTGTAAGGAGGGAGACCTGCGTTTGATCTCTGGCCTGGGAAGATCCACTGGAGAAGGGAAAGGCTACTGACGTCAGTATTTTGGCTTGGAGAATTCTAGGGACTGTACAGTCCATGGGGTGGCAAGGAGTCGGACACAACTGAGCGATTAATTTATTTATAAAATTATTTACATAATAATATATATTTATAAATAAATTATATATTATATATAATAAAACACATTAATTGCTTATAATTAATTTATAAATAAATTATATTAAAAGCAAAGGGGAAAAAGAGGAATTCACTGGTAGTCCGGTGATTAGGACTCAGTGCTCTCACTGCTGGGGCCCAGGGTTTGATCCCTGGTCAGGGAACTAAAATTCCATAAGTCACATTGCACAGCCAAAAAAAACAAAAACAAAGATAAGTACTCAAAATTTAGCATCTCTATTATCTATACTGTTAAGGTTATTTACATCTATTATATCTATGGTAAAAATAACTGTATAATTATGTGCAGCTATTCATCTCTTTCCAAGTCCACATCAGCAGTTTGAAGTCAGCCATGGTAGGAGTGTGCACTCCATGCAAATCAGCAAACACTACCAATCATGGCTCCTGTCACACTGGAACTGGTTGCTGAATATCTACCAGCACACCACTAGTTCAGAGACACCACTATCCTGTTTGTCTGGTCATTGTTGTTCAGTCACTAAGTTGTGTCGGACTCTTTGAGACCCCATGGACTGCAGCACACCAGGCTTCCCTGTCCTTCACCATCTTCCGGACTTGGCTCAAACTCATGTCCATTGAGTCAGTGATACCATCCAATCATCTCATCCTCTGTCACCCCTTCTTCTCTTGCCCTCAATTTTCCCCAGCCTCAGGGTGTTTTCCAGTGAGTTGGCTCTTTGCATCAGTTGGCCAAAGTATTAGAGCTTCAGCATCAGTCCTTCCGTTGAATATTCAGGGTTGATTTCCTCTAAGATTGACTGGTTTGATCTTCTTGCTGTCCAAGGGACTCTCAAGGGTCTTCTCCAGCACCTCAGTTAAAAAGCATCAATTCTTTGGAACCTAGCCTTCTTTATGGTCAAACTCCCACATATGTACATGACTACTGGAAAAACCACAACTTTGACTATATGGACCTTTTTTTGGCAAAGTGATGTTTCTGCTTTTTAATACGCTGTCTAGGTCTGTCAGAGCTTTCCTTCCAAGGAGCAAGTTTCTTTAAATCTCGTGGCTGCCATCACCATCCACAGTGATTTTGGAGCCCCAAAAAATAAAATCTGTCACTGTTTCCACTTTTTCAGTTCCTGATTTCCATTCCTAAGAGAGAAACCAAGAATTGAATCATCATTTAAAAGCTAATGAGGGTACTTCCCTGGTGGCTCAGTGGATAAGAATTGACCTGCCAATGCAAGGGATACAGGTTTGATCCCTGGTCCAGGAAGATTCCACATGCCACGGAGCAACTAAGCTCACGGGCCACAACTACTGAGCCCAAGAGCTACAACTGTGGAAGCTTGAATGCCTAGAGCCTGTGCTCTGCAACAAGAGAAGCCACTGCAATGAGAAGTCCATGTGCTGCAACGAAGAGTAGCCCCCACTCCCTGCAACTAGAAAAAAGCCCATGCAAAGCAACAAAGACCCAGTGCAGGCAAAAATAAATAAATAAATAAAATATTAAAAAAGGAAAAAAAAAACCAAAAACTAATGAGGGACTTCCCTGATGGTCCAGTGGTTAAGACTTTGCCTTTAAGTGCATGGGGTATGGGTTCAATCCCTGGTAGGGGAAGTAGAAGCAATGTTGTAACAAGTTCAATAAAGATTTTTTAAATGGTCCACATAAAAAAAAAGCCTAATGAGATAATAAAGCTGAGTTTAAGGAAATGGACTCACAGGTTGGCTGTAAGTAGACTTGGCTGCAAGTAGATTGCAGTGTGGAGTGTCTATCTCTGGCTTTCTCTCCTTCCAGGAGAACTTCTACCACAGTGAATGACTATTGGTCAGTCTAGCACAGAGGTCTTATGTAGACAGGGTCCCAAAGGACTCTGAAGAAGGCATTGGTTGCCCTCTAGGTATCTATCTTACAGGGTTATCTAGCTGGCCAACTGAAGGATTTAAAGATATATGAGTACCATGTTGACAGAGAAGACAAGACTTTCCCATCTTTTTGTACAATCACCTCCAAGATTAACAAATCTCGTAAATCTTAAAACTAGGATAATAGCATGGAAGAGAGCTGGTAAAATCCTTAGAAGTCATTCAACATTCAACATCTTCCCAACTGCCTCATTTTACAGATGAAGTAACTGAATTCATGTGATAGTAAATGGCTTGCCCAAGGTCACATAACAAGCTAGTGGCCAATGTCCAAAGCTCCTAATACCTGAAGGAAAGACCTTTCTTTAACATTCCTAACATTCCATTTAGGAATTCCACTTAGAGAAATTATATGATCTTCAGAAAATGTGAGCAGGGACAAGCACAAAGTTTACACACAAAAAACTCACCACCACCTTCCTTCCTAGAAAATTAAAGAAGATCTTTATAGAGTACCAACCAAATGCCAAGTGCTATGAGAAGCACAGAAGAATAAGATCCAGTTACTCATATGCAGGAAGTGAATGTAGAATCACTCCTAAAACTCTTTCAAGGGGAATGTGGGATTCCTCAGGTCTAATGTGACCCCTGTTCTGACCACACAGACAGTGGCATGGAAATCAACCTCACTGTCTTAAGTAAGAGTTACACAGTAGATTTTTTTTTTAAGTATCATTGACTTACAATATTATATCAGTGTCAGGTATAAACATTAGTTTCTTGATTGGGAAAGGTAGAAAACAGAGAAGAGCCCACTGAGGCAAACTTGGTGAGCTTTTCCCAAGTGACCCAGTGTGGGATATCTCTTTCCCCAAGGAGAGAATCCTACAAGCAAGCAAAGGAAGAGACCATGCTGGGTTAAGAGCCAGAACTTTAGTGCATTAAGGACATTTTGCATTTGAGATATTCACATTCATCCTCCTAGAGAAATGAAATAGAAAAAAAGACATAATATAAGCCCATATTTCTTATTATTAGATTTCAACATATATAAAATCACCCTGTAAAATTGTTACAAAAATCTCTAAACATTCTCATTTCTGTACTTATCTTGTCACATAAAGATAACAGTTTGCAGACTGACACTAACCCCAGTCCATACTTTGAGTACACTGCACTAAAAAGGCCCTGGGATGTCTTGGCCCCTGGAACTCCTTTGGTGGGGGATCATTCTTTTTTCTGGTGGGTGATTTCTGACCTCCCTTTCTCATCCAAATCCAGTCCAGGGTGCTGTGAAGTGATTTGGATTATGGTCACAGAGTACTGAGCTAGGACAGTAACTTCCTGTTCGTACTTCTCTGCATCCCTTTAGCCTGCCTTCCCCTGCCTCAGGAAAGAGTTTCACCAAGCAAGGAAGATCTCCATCCATTCATTGCAGTATCCAGCCCTACCAAATAATGCCTCAGGTTCTCCTAGGGGTCACAAGTTCTTTCATTCATTCATCTCTTCACTCATTTATTCATTCATCGAGGCATCTTCTTCAGTACTAAGAATAAAAAGTGAACTTTAAAGATAGATTCCTGCCTAAGGCTGAGCTTATGTCCTAGCAACAAAGTGGTATCAGAAAGAAAGGCATCAAATATAACCCTGGATGGTCCAAAGGTTGATTCTTACATATATAGGCAGTTAACAAACGGGAAGACTCTTGTGTCCCTTGGACTGCAAAGAGAGCAAACTAGTCAATCCTAAAGGAAGTGAAATGAAAGTCGCTCAGTTGTGTCCGACTCTTCGTGAGCCCATGGACTATACAGTCCATGGCATTCTCCAGGCCAGAATACTGGAGTGGGTAGCTGTTCCCTTCTAAAGAAATCAACCCTGAATATCCATTGGAAGGACTGATGCTGAAGCTGAAGCTGTAATACTTTGACCACCAGAGGTGAAGAGGCAACTCATTAGAAAAGACCCTGATGCTGGGAAAGACTGAAGGCAGGAGGAGAAGGGGACAACAGAGGATGAGATGGTTGGATGGCATCACTGACTCAGTGGACATGAGTTTGAGCAAGCTCCAGGAGATGGTGGACAGGGAAGTCTGGTGAACTGCAGTCCATGGGGTTTCAAAGAGTCAGACACAACTGAGTGACTGAACAACAATAACAAACTGGAGTTCTAAAAAATACAAAATTGCAGACCTACTAGGAATGAAGGAAATCTACTTGAACTTATCCTGGTAGAATATGGTAGAAGGGACTGTTGCAGAGGTGTCTGCTCCAGTGTCCCACACTACTTTACAGTCACCAAGGGAGGAGGCAAGAATGGTGCACTTGTTTACTTGGGTAGAACAAGGAGAGAGCTCCAGATAGAGTTCCTCTATAGTTGTTAACACCCTGAGGAGGAAGGCAGGGTAAGGAGTGGGGTCTCGTTAATGAGTGAGAACCCCATAAATTTGAGGGAGAGGTGACCTATCTTCAGAATTAGCCGAGTTAATTCTGCAGAGACAAGAAAACTTGTCTTCTCTGGGCTATAAGATTCTGATTAATGAGCCCTCGAGCAGGAAGAGAAAGAAGTCTGACTTAGAGAGGGTAGAAACCTCCTGAGCAGTGAAAGGTTTCAGCTCCTCTGTCAGCCTGGGAGGGAAGAAAGGTTGGCAGGGCGGGGCAGGGCGGGGTTTCCCTTGCAGGCTTTGGGCTGAATCCCTCCTCCCTGGTCCCTCATTGGGTTAGTGGCTCCTGCAGCCCTGCCAGTGTGGGACAAATGAGAAGAGCTGTTGATTTTTCACCCCTTGGCCATTCAGCATCTCCCTACATAAATACTGAGAAAGGCCTGCCCTCTCCTCACTTCTCTGGACTTGGCCCTGGGCTAGACTTGGTCCTCTGGGGGTGGGGAGGGCCATGGGGGGCCTACTTATGCTCAGAGTGGCTGTGGGCATATGCTGTGTAACCTTCGGTGCCTCCGCTTGGTAAGTCCTTCCCTCCCACTGTTCACTCCTCACCAAGGAAGCTTCCACTGTCTCATCCCCATTCACCAACTGCCTCACTTTTTCTCTTTTTGGTAGGTCAGTGAACAATTTCCTGATAACAGGGCCCAAGGTAGGATGGTCTCCTGCGCCTGTTTTTACCCATTCATGTTCCTAAGGGAACTCTTCTAGGGAAAGAAAAGATGGGAGGGGAGACAGTGTCAGAAGTCAGCCACACAGAGGGAACCAATCATTCCCTAATGGAGAGCTAACCCATTTGATTCCTGTCTGTACCTTCTGACCCAGACAACCTGATGAGAGCCAGGGCTGAAGCTTGCACACTTTTCCCTTTGCCAGGCCTATCTGACCTATACCACCAGTGTGGCCCTGGGCGCCCAGAGTGGCATCGAGGAGTGCAAATTCCAATTTGCTTGGGAACGCTGGAACTGCCCTGAAAATGCTCTCCAGCTCTCCACTCACAACAGGCTAAGAAGTGGTAAGTTTGTGCAACCTGTACAAGGGGGTATATGTCCATGAAGTTGGGTGTGCAGTATGTATGTATGTGTAACATACATATGTGTGTAACACACATACATATGTATGTGTGCAGTGAAATGAAAAAGTTATCATATACAGGCAGTGATCTGCCACTTCCTTATTGTGGGTTATTTCCCCTTTTCTGAACCTCAGTGTTATCCCTGGGGTCAATAAGGTCAGCTGTTTAGTCCACCAGGAGTGTTATAAGGATAAAATGAGGTGAATCAAAGGTATCTATATACAAGTGTAATTACTCTATTTTTCAATTCATGTTGTATTTGTGTTTGTACACACTTATATTTGCATGAAATAAAAATGAGGAAAGGAGTCAGTGTTCGTAGCCCCTGAGGGAATTTCAACTGTCATAAAATCCCAACAACAGAGAAGCTGAGAGATCACACTGAGCTATGCCTCATGTGGAGTGTGTGTGTGTGGTGTGTGTGGTGTGTGTGTGTGTGTGTGGAGTGTGTGTGGTGTGTGTGTGTGGAGTGTATGTGTGTGTGTGTGGTGTGTGTGTGTGGAGTGTGTGTGTGGAGTGTGTGTGTGGTGTGTGTGTGGTGTGTGTGTGGTGTGTGTGTGTGTGGTGTGTGTGTGTGTGGTGTGTGTGTGTGGAGTGTGTGTGTGTGTGTGGTGTGTGTGTGTGTGGAGTGTGTGTGTGTGGTGTGTGTGTGGAGTGTGTGTGTGTGGAGTGTGTGGTGTGTGTGTGTGGAGTGTGTGTGTGTGGTGTGTGTGTGTGTGGTGTGTGTGTGTGTGTGGTGTATGTGTGTGTGGAGTGTGTGGTGTGTGTGTGTGTGTGGTGTGTGTGTGTGTGTGGAATGTGTGTGTGTGGAGTGTGTGTGTGTGTGGAGTGTGTGGTGTGTGTGTGTGGTGTGTGTGTGTGTGGAGTGTGTGTGGTGTGTGTGTGTGGAGTGTGTGGAGTGTGTGGTGTGTGTGTGTGTGGAGTGTATGTGTGTGGTGTGTGTGTGTGTGGAGTGTGTGGTGTGTGTGTGTGTGTGGTGTGTGTGTGTGTGTGGAGTGTGTGTGTGTGGAGTGTGTGGTGTGTGTGTGTGTGGTGTGTGTGTGTGGAGTGTGTGTGTGTGTGTGGAGTGTGTGTGTGTGGAGTGTGTGGTGTGTGTGTGTGGTGTGTGTGTGTGGTGTGTGTGTGGTGTGTGTGTGTGTGTGGAGTGTGTGTGGTGTGTGTGTGTGGAGCGTGTGGAGTGTGTGTGTGTGTGTGTGTGGTGTGTGTGGTGTGTGTGTGTGTGTGGAGTGTGTGTGGTGTGTGTGTGGAGTGTGTGTGTGTGTGTGTGTGTGGAGTGTGTGGGGTGTGTGTGTGTGTGTGGAGTGTGTGGTGTGTGTGTGTGTGTGTGGAGTGTGTGGTGTGTGTGTGTGTGTGTGGAGTGTGTGGTGTGTGTGTGTGTGTGTGGAGTGTGTGGTGTGTGTGTGTGTGTGTGGAGTGTGTGGTGTGTGTGTGTGGAGTGTGTGTGGTGTGTGTGTGTGTGGAGTGTGTGTGGTGTGTGTGTGTGTGGAGTGTGTGTGTGTGGTGTGTGCATGTGGGGGGCATGTGTGTGTGCATGATGTACCTGTGTAGCTGTTTATAACTATGCATAGCAATTTGCAATAAAGTCATTTATGTAGAAATGATTAATGAAGAGTTTCCTGAGGAAAGTTGAGGGGAATGGGGTAAAGAAAATGAGGGGGAAAGTATCTTCCTGTGGGGTATATAACAAACAGGTTGAGAAACAACATGGGACAATATTTATAAGGACTTAGTAAGATACAAGCTCAGTAAGCGGTAGGTATTATCATTATAATTATTACATGGCTCCAGGTCCATCTCAGAAAGAAGAAAAATGCCCTTCTCTCTTTCATAAGCCAGCCTCATAGCCCTGAATCCTTACTGCCTGAGGACCAGAAGCAATGGCTAATGAACAGAGGCCTAGGCTGGATTATCAGGGGAACTGGGTCCTGGTCCCAGTGCCATAACTGGTGAGGAGACTGGCCTCGGTTTCATCACTATCTGTCTGGGTTTTACTTTCCCCATCTGTAGCATGGGGATGCTCATTCCTGCCTGTGTGAAGTAAGGATGCTGGGAAAGCATGTACTGCTCTCTCAAGCAGAATAACATCCTCTTAATAAACCCAAAGAGGGAGGGGGATAGGAGAGAGAAATGAAATGGTATTGCTTTTTGAAAGCCCCTGCTTTGGGTCATCAGGGTCCTAGTTTTCAGTTCCCTCTTTCTTTTCAAAGCTACCAGGGAGACTTCTTTCATTCACGCTATCAGCTCTGCTGGAGTCATGTACACCATCACCAAGAACTGTAGCATGGGTGACTTTGAAAACTGTGGCTGTGATGAGTCAAAAAATGGTAAAACAGGTGAGTTGTGCCCTCTGATGGGTGTGGGAAAAGGTAAGGGGTTTAGAGCTGAGCGTAAGCTAAAGTCTTCCAGACAAAGCCTGAGAGACACAGCTTCTTCAAACCCCTAAACCCCAGCAGAAATCTCCTTGGTGGGTGCTCCTAGATCAAGACTCCGCTAAGACGATTAAAGGATAAGCAAGCAGCACCAAGCTCTAAAACCAACAAGGCCTCTAGGAAGGAGGAGACCAAAGACAGTTTAAAGCTAACCCTCCTATTTCAGGCTTAGAATGGCTTGTCCATAATCCACAGCTATCAAATTATTTGCTGACAGTCCAAGAGACTTATAGGCCTTCCCTGATGGCTCAGACAGTAAAGAGTCTGCGTGCAATGTGGAAGACCTGGGTTTGATCCCTGGGTTGGGAAGATCCCCTAAAGAAGGAAATGGAAACCCACTCCAGGATTCTTGCCTGGAAAATCCTTATTCAGATTTGTCATTAATGAGGGAGGAGATAGGTCTAATAAGACTACTGTACACTAATGGTACAGAATTCTAGAATGAACATCAATGAACCTTTGAGATCATCTGGGCCAGCCCCAGCATCCTAATTTTACTTTGGGTATGGAGTTGAATTGTCTAGAGCTGGGGAGTACCTGAAGGGTGGGCAGTTGACTTTAGAAATAAGACTGCCCCCTACCCCCATTCCCACCCTAAATACCTCCATTTCCCTGCCTCACTTTTTGTTTTTTTACCATACTGTGCAGCTTGTGGGATCTTAATTCCCTGACCAGGGATGGAACCCAGGCCATGGCAGTGAGAACACAGAGTCCTAATCACTGGACTGCCAGGGAATTCCTTCCCTGTCTCACTTAGCTATAGCTTTACACACTTCTACAACTCTTGGGGATGGTTTGGCTATGTCAGCTAAAATGACTGTGACTCTTCTAGGACTCAGCAGGTAGCTGTACAAGGAACTTACTCTTTCCTTATGTGCAGGAGGCCATGGCTGGATCTGGGGAGGTTGTAGTGACAATGTTGAATTTGGGGAAAGAATCTCCAAACTCTTTGTGGACAGCCTGGAGAAGGGGAAGGATGCCAGAGCCCTGATGAATCTTCATAACAACAGGGCAGGCAGGCTGGTACGTATAAGAGTTGACCAGTGAGCCAACAGGCTGAGCATTTACAACAGTCTCACATCTATACAGACCTTCACAACTTATTAAGAGCTGTCTCAAACATGTTTCATCCCACACCTCCCAGCAGGACTAGGATAGCTTCCCCTATTCTTTGGATGACAAAACCAGTTAAGGCAGAGCTATCACTTGGCCAAGGCAATACAATCAATTAGCATCAGAACCAGGCAATGAACACAGATCTTCCAGTCTAGTCCTTTTATCACTAAACCTTCTATGCTAACTCCTTCTACAGGCAGGTTTCTGAGAACATAAAATAATACAGATGCAAGGCCTTGCTTCCATGACTTAAAATTTTAACCATTTCAACTGCATGTTCTAGGAAATTAACAAGGGTTTATCATACAACTTATGTCCTAATGTCTTTCTGGGTCTGGAGAGGTTGGGACTGATCTAAGCTTCTCTGGAAGGTCAGCTGTTCCCCAAGACTTCTGGGGTGCATAGCAATCCTTGGAGTGTTCTGAGCTCAAATCTGGATTCTAGTTGTATTTGGAGCTAACAACATAGAAATTTTGCTTTGAACCTGTACCTAGATGTCCTGGCTGCCCAGTGTAGAGAAGAGGTTTTCAAAACAACAATAATGGGGATAAAGCGACCTTGGGGATAGGGCTTCAGACCCCAGGTTTCCTTCCCTCTGGAAGAGAGCCCAAAAGACAAATCCAAACACCCATAAACACTCTAGCCCCCAGTTGCCACACTTAGTAACAGTGCCAATTATCATATTTTTCATTTTTTGTTTACAGAGTACTTTCTTCTTCATCTTCTTTTTAACAAAGTACTTTCTTGATCATTCTTAATCTTATGGGCAGAAAGAGAAACAAGCTCGCAAGCGATATAGTTGGGCCTTAAGCCTAGGTTTCCTGTCTCCAGTCACCTCAACACTTGCCTGGCTTTTTCCATAAGAATCACGCAGAAGAGCGTTAAAATCACCAGTACCAAAGCCTTTAAACCCCTGAACTTCCTAATTGAGAAGATCTGAGGTAGAGCCCAGGAGTAAATATTTTTCACAGGCCTCCCTCATAATTCTGATGTACTCTAAAGTTAAGAAACACAACTCTAAAATGTTCCATTAATTGCTAGCCTTTGACCTTTTCTACTCAGATCCAATCTCCTTTTGTCCTCCCTCTCTCTTTCTCTGAAGGCAGTGAGAGCCACCATGAAGAGAACTTGCAAATGTCACGGCATCTCGGGCAGCTGTAGCATCCAGACATGCTGGCTACAGCTAGCTAACTTCAGGGAGTTGGGCAACTACCTAAAGGCCAAGTACGAACGGGCACTGAAAATTGAGATGGATAAACGGCAGCTAAGGGCTGGGAACAGTGCCGAGGGCCACTGGGTACCCACCGAGGCCTTCCTTCCTAGTGCAGAAGCTGAGCTGATCTTTTTAGAGGAATCGCCTGATTACTGTACCCGCAATTCCAGCTTGGGCATCTATGGCACAGAAGGTCGGGAGTGTCTGCAGAACAGCCGCAATACATCCAGATGGGAGCAATGCAGCTGTGGGCGCTTGTGCACAGAATGCGGCCTGCAGGTGGAAGAGAGAAGAACTGAGGCTATCAGCAGCTGTAACTGCAAATTCCAGTGGTGCTGCACGGTCAAGTGTGACCAGTGTAGGCATGTAGTGAGCAAATACTACTGCACGCGCTCCCCAGGCAGTGCTTGGTCCTGGGGCAAGGGCAGTGCCTGACAGCACCTCACAGGAACTTACTGCTCAGTTGTACGACAGTGGAGGGGACACAGCTTCTCTCTTGGAGAGAAGAGGTAAGGAAAACAATTGGGAAACCACAGGGTTGATCTGTAGTCCTCTTGATATCTGCTGTACATGGGGAAGTGGAGGCCCAAGGTGATACAGCATGTTCTTGACAGAGCTGAAATGGGAATCTGGGCCTCCTAACTTGGGTAGACCCCATTTCATCTCTTCTGCAAGTTACTTCCTGGTCTTTCTGCCTATAATACTATAGCTTGCTAAAGGGGAAGTTTGATTTGGGGTCTATATCCAGAAAGACCTTCAAAATACTTGCCCCTGGAGTTTCAGACCACATCCAGCCCAGCTGTATGGCTAAGAATCAGAGGGGATGGAAGCCAAAAATGGAAGAGTTCTGTCCAGACTCCTGAAGGAGTAACCTTCCCCTACACTGGCTAGCTCCAGAAATATCAACTATAAGTTCATAGAGATAAGTGAGGCAGAGACTACACGCCTGCCTATAGGGACATATTTTTGGTGTTGGGTTTTTTAACTCAATGCACATTTTTGAAAAGTTCTCCCTACGCATTCCTGGGGAAACCAGTATCTCATATAACCTGACAACTTTTCTAACTCAAAAACCATTTCTGGAGCCATGGAGAAGGAATTGGCACAGTAAGTGGACAGGTGACCACAACTTATCCAGTCAAAGCCTCCCAAGAGGGATTTTTCCCAAAAGAGCTGTAGAACAACTCTCTTTTGTTATTTTCCCAAATTGGGAACTCGACTTCATTTTGCAATAAATGCTTCTAGTATACACATTTGAGACTTTTTGTTTCTCTCCTTGGAAGCCTGAGGATCAGAAAGGGAACAAGAAACTCCACTTCTATATTCCAATGATGTACAAGTCTAAAAGAGAAACTGGAAATACCAACCCCTTGATATTAGTGTTAGATATCAGATAATAAAATTCAGACCCAAGCACTGGCCTATAGGAAAATAATCCAGATTTCTTGATTTAGAAGGTATTATTTTAACACAACCTAAGCAACTTGAGGAACAAGCAAGCCCTTTGAACTTGAACCATATTCAAAGTGTGTTTACTCTCTCAACTTAGGCTTCCTGGGGTGTCTGTACACGGAGGAGCTGGGCTCCAAGGCAAGAGACTAGGAAAGTTGTGGATTCTCCCTTCCTCATTTGCACTTCTACATGTTCCACTGGTAATCTGTGAGGGGAGGGGTAGTTCCCATAAAGAGAGCCCTAGGGGCTCAGCCACTGGTCTCCTAAATCTGAGCATCTCAGCCTTTGGAGTCTCCCCTCCCTACAAAGGCCAAACACCCCACAGAGAAGAGATATTCAGCTTTGTTAAATAAATAAGTAAAATGATTGATCACCAAGAGTAGGGAAACATTCTTAATGTTTTAAATTTAAAAAAACAATTTAAATGTTCAACATCAGGGCAAACTAATTAAGTCATGGCTGCACAATGGAATATTAGCCATTAAAATAATATTCTGGAAAAATATTTGGTAACATGAAAAACGTGCATGATACAATTAAGTGAATAAAGTTATAAAACAGCATGTTCAGAATGAATTCAATTTTGTTTTAAAAAGAGAAAAATATTAGCTATCATGTAATACCAAAATAGAGTGGTTAGTTTTCCTTTTTGTGTTTTTCTGTATTTTTGTATTTGTCCACAATAAACAAATTGTCTTCAAAAAGAATTTATAGTACGTTAATTTTTAATGCCAACAGGGAATAACCAATCCATCATTTTTGTTTAAGTGAAAAAGAAGGTAAAATATTTATTAAGGAAGTTGGCGTCTCAAGAAAAACCATAAGCAGGTGCTTGGCAAGTCTATCCTTATCTCTATTTTGTTGTTGTTGTTGAGTTGCTAAGTCATGTCTGACTCTTTGTGACTCCATGGACTGCAGCACATCAGTCTTCCCCTGTCCTTTACTGTCTCCCGGAGTTTGCTCAAATTCATGCCCACTGAGTCGGTGATGCTATCCATCCATCTCATCCTCTGTCATCCCCTTCTCCTCCTGCCCTCAATCATTTGTGCACTTAAAACTACCAACTATCACAGATGATAGACACCAGAAACAAGGAGAAATCCATAAACATGTAACCTATGTCAAAGAAATGGAAGATTTCCTCTACCTCCCTTCAAGGAAGGTAACACACACACACACACTACAGTTAGCAACAAAGAAATGTGTGTGTGTGTGAGAGAGAAAGAGAGACAGAGAGAGAGAGAGAGAGGTGGTAGTAGAAGGGGGAATGTAAGAGATATCATCTAAGCACAAAAATTGTGGTGAAGTAATAGGCAACCAAAAGAAGATTGTTTTCCTGGGGCTCAGAGGGAAAAAAGTTATCTGACTTTGAGGTTAAACCCTCAATAAATATAGATGCCAAATTACTCATCATGAAACCTGAGTTGTGAAACTGCTAAGGAATTGAACAAACTAGACTTTTCTCTTTATCCATAACTGAATCTCCATCCAAAGACCCCAGGTATCGGATGCTTTGACATTTTCCCCAGGACCTTGCTGACATTCCCAAATGATCTTAGGGGAGATTATCAGAAATATAACCATTCCTGATGCCTGGTGAAGTGAAAGTCAGTCATGTCCGACTCTTTGCAACCCCATGGGTCATACAGTCCATGGAATTCTCCAGGCCAGAATACTGCAGTGGGTAGCCTTTCCCTTCTAAAGGGGATCTTCCCAACCCAGGGATCAAACCAAGGTCTCCTACACTGCAGGTGGATTCTTTACCAGCTGAACCACAAGGGAAGCCCAAGAATACTGAAGTGGGTAGCTTATCCCTTCTCCAGCAGATCTTCCCAACCCAACTATCAATCATGGAGAACATGCCTCATGTTTTCTAGGGGTTTATATCTGAGATTTTCACTAAGGAAACAGAATTCCATGAACAGTTTGCCTACTTCCCCAAAATCTCATAGTCCCAATCCTTCCAAGCTTCTTCCAACCTCATTCATTTTACCCTCATGGCAATCAACCAGTCTTCCCACATGGACCCTAGGCCACAAACTAAAGGAATTTGGATTTCTCGGCATCCATCACCTTCCTGTCAGGGGGTCATTCCTAGGCGTTACAGTGGCATTCAGATTCAATAGTTACAACCCTTTACTCCTTCTCTTTTGGCTCATCCTTGACAAGCTGGCTATCATTAAGGTGACAGAACAGTAAAAACTCATGTTTGATAGGTTCAGGGCCCAAGACAGGCAGGTTGGCCGTCACAATCTGATAGTGAACCTTGAAAAACTGCTGAAAAAGGAATCAACTCGATGAGGGAAACCTGTCCATGAGCCAAGTCCCATATTTCAGTAAATCCGGGCACTGCTCCACATTGCCTGGAGAATAGAAGCTTCTGTTTTCTCAGTGTAGGCTTGCCAGGCCCTTACAAAACTCTTTCTCCTCCTCCTCCCCCTTCATCTCCTCTTCTTTCTCCCTCTTCTCCCCATCTGTACCATGAGCAGAATTCATGACTCCTAAGAACACAATGGACATGAGCTTGCACAAACTCTGGGAGAGAGCGAAGGGCAGAGAAGCCTGACATGCTGCAGTCCACAGGGTAGCAAAGAGTCAGACATGATTTAGCGACTGAACAACAACAAGAAAACCCTAAGGCCTATTCCCAGAGTTTCCCATGGTCTCCTGCCAATCTTCTCAGGGCTTGCTGGTGTGTGATCCTAAGGGTGGAAAGGAAGTAACTGGGCTTCTACTAAGTGTCAGATGCTTAATATGTATCTCCAATCCTCAGAACAATCCAGTTAAAGAGTTAGAATTATTCCCCTTACTACTGAGGAAACTGTGACTCAGAGAAGTTAAGCAACGGACCTTAAATTAAATACAAGGAGATAGATTTGAATTCAGACTTACTACCATATAAATTTATATTCTTCCTTTACACCATTTACACTCTGGGACCCCAGGGATCTCTGGCGACATTCTTAACTGTCATGACAGCTTTGTAGAAGGATTCCATTTATATGCAGTAAAAGGTGTCCTTTTCCTCCCTCTTCTACAAGTAGGAGAGTCACATTTCTCAGCCCTTCTCCAGAGAGAAGAAACCTAACTTTTGACTTGCAAAGGCCTTCCTTGGAATGATAAAGCAGATAGCCTGGCTCCCGCTGACTTGGGAGGGCAGAATCCTGGTTCTCCAGGGGGTACTCAAAGAAAAAGGCTAACCATTGTGGTCTACAGTAGAGGTCAAAGTTTCAAAGGAAAGTCAGAAGAGGGGTGTTTATTTTAGAGGCTAGAGGAAAAAAACACAGGATCCAGAGAAAGACAAATTTCTAGCCCCAGATCACAAACTACTCATATCACTGATCTCAAAATAGTGATCAAGGGCCTAGATAAAGATGTTTGGGTGGGTGGGAGGGGGATGAAAACAAAGATCAGAGCAAAGACTTCTAGAAGAAGTTAAAGACCTTTGTGTGAGACTAGTGCTTTACATCCTTCTAATTCTACTGCATTCCCTACCACAGGAAGAAGAAACTCCCAGGTGACACAGTGGTAAAGAACCTGCCTGCCAATGTGGAGATGCAAGAAACACGGGTTCTATCCTTGGGTCAGGAAGATTCCCTAAAGAAGGAAATGGAAACCTGCTCCAGTATTCTTGCCTGAAAAATCCCATGGACAGAGAAGCCTGGCAGGCTGCAGTCTATGGGGTCACAAAGAGTCGATACAACTGAGTGAGCACACACACCCCACAGGAGGAACGTTAAGTTTGGAGGAGGAAAGCTCCCCCTGCTTCCCAACCCCCAGTATCACCAAGTGAGATAGCTAAACATTAGATTCCAAGGCCCTGAACATTCTCCATGGCTGGTGCTCTGCCCACCCTGCCAGGCTGCCCTTTTTATCAGGAAATGAATGTATGATGACCAATGAAAGCATTGAGGAAACTAGGCCAAGGCTCTGGGAAGCCTCAGACTGCATTTGGTCAGGGACGGAGGAGGTAGGCAGAGGGT